GATTTTCCTTGTATACACAAATCATTCGTTTTCTGTTGAACATGTATAATTACTATTGAATAATAGGCTATTCTTACTTAATTATTTATAATGGACATATATAAAAATCAATATATTCATTCACTCTTTGACTTCATATATTGAAGTCATTGAAATTGATTCAGAAATTTTTTAAAGAGGTTTTCGAACAGAAGTGAAAAAACAACAAAAATTTATTTTTTAAATTATTTAAATTAATTGAATTTTTGGTTGACCATACAGCTGTTTCGAGTATTGCCAAATACCCCTCATCAGTGGTCTTGGAAATAATTCTTGTATTTAATTATTCGTAAATAATTATTTTTGAGACTGCAAGTACCAGGAATCGAACTCGGGTCCTGCCAAATATGAAGCTCAGAATCAGCGCACCTTAACCAACTGATCCAAAGCCGTACTTGACTTTTTATGTTCGCACATTTTTGCTGGAGTTTTGTTACTTTTGCTATGAAAGTTTTTATTAACAATTTTACTTGCTGTATTTATATATTAGAACTAAATCATAAACCAGCTGTAGAATAATTGAATTAATTAATTAATTATATTTTTTATTTTTAATTGTTAAATTTCAAAACTATTCTATTATAAATTTCAAAACTATTCTTATTTGTTGCATGATTTGTTCTTTCTTATGTATAGAACCTAATCTAGGAACGTAATGCTGAGAAAGTCATGCTAATGTTACTCCACTAGTCGCACGGGCGAGAACCAATATTTTTTATGGAATATGCTGAAACATTTTAATCACTCCCTGAATGTGATTACAAGGGTACGTTCTTTTTTAACAGTGAGTAATCTACCTTGCTGGTAAGTTTTGCAAAAAGCTCTTGCAAAATGTTACTAACACATTCATTTGAGATCAAACATCTTACACACCTAAATTAAGCGATCTTCCACTATGATGTCAAGAATTTTATTCACCATACTAACAATTTATACCTTACTTGGGTGTCCTGATCGTTCCGCATTATTGGTGCTAATGTGCCCACAGAATGTCTCCACAATGATGGTTAAAATTTCTTTATGTTTAAGAGATATTTTTTATTAAAAAGGATTAAAATTTCACCACAATTTGTGGGTATTAACTGATGTCAAAAGAATGTCACTACTCAGAACAATAAGTCAGACTGACTTTAAAATTTTGCCAGATTACATTAATATATTAAAAAATATTTAATACTGTTTTACTACTCTTATCATTGTATAATTAATATCTCTCGACTGTAAAGAAACAAAATAAATATTTCATCAAAAAATTATTGTATAAAGTATGCTTTGAGATAAATTTTTTGAAATAATTATATTTGATATATTGAAATCATTTGTTTTCAGAAGTACAATTTTTGTATAAGATTTTCTCAAGTGATAGTATATTGTCTTTGAGTATTGGAAACTGATATCAATAAGTATAATTTTTTGGTGTCAAAATATTAATCGTACATTGCTGAATTTAAAAAGGTATTTCAATTAATTATAAGTTAATAATTATATAATTTTAATTTAATTTTATACTCAGCTCTACGATAGTGAACCGTTGCTAAATATTTAAAAAGATTTTACATTATTGATATACTTAAAAAAGTTTCAAATCATTACTTTTGATATAGTAGATAAAATAAATTAATCGACCTTGATTAATGAATCTACTCTTGCTCCACGGCAGGAAGTTAATTGCTGGTTGAATCGTATTTAGGTATAATCTGTATTGCAAAACTGTTTAAACCGTGCGGTTAAGTTTATCACTACAACTTGATTAATTGAATTAGAATCAGAGCTCTTTCGCCATAAAACTATGGTATTCTTTAAACATTAGTTGCTAGTTGGTGCCTTTTTAAAATAAATTTAGAAGTAGGATTACTTTTTTATGCTCTTCAGAATAATCTTTCACCTATAAGTACGTTTTTTATTAATTAGAATAGGTGTGATAGTAAAAACTTAGTAGATAAAAATTATAATTTTTCATAAAGTAGGCTTTGATAGACAAATATATTTGATGTATTTAAAGATTTATTTTTTTTATTCGTACAATATTTGTTTCTTATATTCACTTAGAAAAGTGTGTATGTCAGATTATTATTGAAAGTCAAATAAATCGTGATTAATTGCAATTGAGGAAATCAACTTTGGACACTTATCTAGTATTTAAATATTTTGGAATCTAAAGAGGTTTGTATATACAGCATTTTATTTAAGAAGAAGTACATATTAAAAATAAGAGCAAAGTTACATATTAAATACAAATTAGTTGAACTCAAACACTGGTTTATAAAGGTAAATAAAAGAAGTGTTGGTTATTATTTTATACATCAGATAAACGAATAGGCATTACATAGAATAAAAGTTAAAATTGTTTACCTATATAACTTATACAGCTAATATAGCTTCTTTTTGTTATTTTTTATCAAACAAAATAAAATGGGTCGGTGGTAATAGATTTACAAACAATAAAGTGTTATACTTCACTTCCTTCAAGAAAAGTGCCAAAGCTATATACATTATCAGAAGAAACCCTTCAACCAATAAAAATGAAAAAGTTCGGACTTCATTACAAAGCGTAAATTTGAAGATTTTTGATTTATTTATACATCGCGTACAGACACCTATCACTTGCTACATATAATGACGTTTTGTACGAATGTTTTGTTGATAGATGGTTAAACAATGATATGGTAAATAAGTCGATGATATTAATTTAAAACTTTTTCAAACAGTTCTTGCAATTTTAATAACTCCCAAACAATGCTACCAACAAGAGAAAACATTTTATAGATATTTTTTAGATTTGATCACTAAAGTGTTAAAAAAAATTTCAAATTCACACTAAAGTGTGTATTATTCTATTGGTTTTAAGTGTTTTAAGTGATTTCGAACTTCAGAAAATTTTTAATAAAGTCGTATTATAGATTCGATCTTAAATCACAGGGATGGTTTAAGCTGGATCGAGACGTGTCAACAAACTGATTAAAAAATAAAAATTTCGAAAGTGTGAGATATGTTTTTCTTCCCGACCTTTTTATTACTCAAGCTGTAACTAAAAACGATAAAAAGTATTGTATTTGCTCGTTAAAATATTTTATAAAAACGATCTATTAAAGAACACACTTTTGTTGGTTAGTTTTTATGTATAAAAACTTTTATTTATTATTATTTATTTGTTATTATAATAGTCTTATTTGCATCTACAAATAAAATGCAACTGACATATACACATTCAAAAATAAAATCCTGTACTTAATTCTGGAAATTCTAATTTTTTCCTTCAGTTCTCTTTCCTATATTTAAGTAAGAACATTCCTACTACTTTTGCTTCCCCTTCCACACGACACGTCAGCACAAAGACTTAACTGTCATCTTTGCAAAAGTCAAAATTCAATGCTGTGCCTTCTAAGAGATTTCCATAAAGGAAAACATTTATGAAAACCTTGTCGTTTACAGTTGATAAAATGCATGTGCAAGTACATCTTCTCTTGATACTGAATTGTTGTTGTACGGTTGGTCTAAGTTGAAATGCGGTGCGGTGCAGTGCAACAGGAATTGCATTTGATCTTTTGCCTGCCACAGCTTTGAATTAATTTGTCGCAAAGTTTTCACTTGTGGTTCCTTATGATTTGTGTTTCATGCATATTTAGTCTCAGCATCCATACAGTAAAGTCAACATACACAAACTAATATATCTTAGTTAACAATTTCCAGCTAACATATATACGAGTATAGATATATATGTTTATCTGTTTTACTTCCCTTCCTTGGGTTTTGTTCTTCTTCCTTTTCTTAAGATTTTCCTGTTGTGTGGATATTGTGGAGTGCTCATATGTGCTCATATGTTCTCATATGTGCTTCAGTTGGTTGCATATGAAGGAGCTGTTTTAGCTTATCAAGCACATTGCGTTATGTGGCACCTCAAGTGTGTTGAAAGTTTTCCTGAACACTCCATTTCAAAACTTGAAATAATCTTGAGAATATTGTAAAATAATATGTATTTTGATTAGTATTAAAGTACTTACAATTATAAATTTTGATTTTATATATTTAATGTTACGTTTCAAGGTTTTAGAATTTTTATAGTTTATATATATTTACAAAGTATTTGCACTACAACAATTTAAGCTTGAGGGCTAAATTATTTTCGTGCATCACTTATTTAGCCACAGTACTAAGGAAACGATTTAGATTTTAATTTAGCGGCAGTAATCCAGGCCCTTAGAAATTAACACTGCAAAGCACACCTGACATTTTCGCCTGAGTGTACTTTTGCCCGTGTAACTTAATGACTTGAACGTGTATGCATTGCAAGACATGGTGCGGTGCACCAACTGTAAACTGTGATTAAATTTGGCAAATAGTGGCAGAAAGTATGGGAAAATGTTTGAAGGTAGATTGTACTCATGTCAAAATTACTACAACGGAAACTAATTGTAAATTTCAAGTTTCAACCTAAGAAAACTTGACTTTGCATGAACATAGAATCAGGAAAGTTTAAGAAAATGTTTTTGTTATGTTTTCTCAAAAGAAAAAATATGACGTGATTATTTTAAAAGTTTAAAATATTTTTATATATACTATATTCATAAAAATATTTGAAATAATTGTATAAGAAGAAGTGTGATTATGAAAGCATTTAGTATATTAAATCATGAAGTGGACGAGAGGGAAGAAGTTGGTAAATAATACCTCAAAACGTATTTTCACTAATTTTGTCGACAAATGAGTGTTTTGTTAGGCAAAAAATTGATTTTAAAATATTGACAGGAAAGTAATATAAATTAATTTAAATTGAACCAATGAATCATATATTTCTTTACAACTAGTTCATTGAAGACTAATTCAGATTTAATTACTATCTGTATTGTGAATCTGTTTACACAGTAGTATTAAGTTGATCAGTACAAACTGATCAACGGTACAATTAAAGCACCGTCTTTATAAGAATATGACAGTCTTCAAACAGAATAACTGGATAGTTGCTGCCCTTTCAAGATAAATTTCCAAAATGGGACAGTCTTTTCATGCTCTTCATATTAATTTAGCACTTAAAATTACGGGTTTTGATAATTAGTTGTGACAGTAGAGATTTAGTAAATAAAAAATTACGATTTTGTGTAAAGTAAGCTTTGACATACAAATATTTTTGATGTGTTCAAAATATATACATTTTCTTCTTCTTCTTCTTCTTCTTCTTGAGTTAGTGCTATTACGCACTTTTACTCTATAATGGCTGGGGGGTTTATCACTACCCCACACTAGGCTTTAACTAGGCTAAAAAATCATATCATTTATTTGTCTTTTAATTGATGACGGACCTTAAATCAGCATATCTTCCTGAGAGTCCAGAAGTGGACTTGAGGATTGTTATGGCAGGGGTAAGTAGCGTATCAACTTTAGTGAATAATTTTAAAGCTCTGTCTCTGATATATTTTTTCACTGAGTCAATCCTAAAGATCTCTTATGTTATTGTCCGTTGAATCTAATGTACCATGGAATCTTAAACAGTTTTCTTAAAGGCCAGGTTTTTGAGCTATCTTGTATTTAATTGCTTAAGGTGGTATTTGAGGCTTTGCTATATGTAACACATTCCGTACAGAAGTGCAGGTCTAATTACTTGCGTATAAAGTAAACTTTTTGTTTTTTAAAAGTTGAAGTGATAATTATTAAATAGCGGCTTTAATAAATGTAGAATCTTAGAGCAGCTATTCCGTTTGTATTTCAAATGTTTAAGCCAATTGAACCGTTTGTCAAAAGTGACCCCCAAATATTTTATGTTATCCTCCCACCGTATCTCCGTGTCGCAAACGCTCACTCTTGGAGGATGCTGTCTTCTTTTTCGAGTTATAAATATAGCCTTGGTTTTGTCTTTATTAATTTTAATCTTCCATTTTTGGAAGTATTCCACCATAAGGTCTATATTTCCCTGTAACGTGTTGCTCACATTTATGGCATCCCGATCCGAGTAGATCAAGCATGTGTCGTCTGCGTAAAGCGCCATTGATGTGGGACTTAAGGTGGGGATGTCTGCCGTGTATACATTAAACAATGTGGGAGACAAAGGCGACCCTTGAGGTACACCTGCTACAATTGATCGGGCGGACGAAAGAGTGCTATTAATTTTAGTACGGAAGGACCTTTCTTGCAGGAAGCTACCAATGATTTTAGTCAAACCACTAGGGATCCCAAAACGGGCTAATTTGACTATTAGACCATCATGCCAGACCTTGTCAAAAGCTTTGGCTATGTCAAATATAATCATCCCGGTTGACTCCCGTTTACTTAGAGCGGTTTGTATCAGCTGCGCAGTTCTGGCTAGTTGTAGTTCCGTGGAGAGATTATCCCTAAACCCGAATTGTTCATCAGGAAGTATATTTAGGGCATTTACCGCTGTTTTAAGCCTAGTCAGGATTACTCGTTCTGCCAATTTCCCCATAGTTGGGAGCAGACTGATAGGACGCCAGTTCTGCGGAAATGAAGGATTCTTGTCCGGTTTAGGAAACACTACGACTGAGGCCAACTTCCAGGCCTTTGGAAATTCGTATAATATTTGTTTCTAATTTTTACTTAGAAAAAAGTGTGTTAGATTATTCTGCAAAGTCAAATAAATGGTAAATAATTTTAATTGACTAAAATTTGGACCGGACTTATATTTGTATATTTTGGAATCTAAAAAGGTTTGGTATACATAGCAATTTTTTTATAAAGAATTTAATGAGCATAAGAACATAATTTTGTAATAGTCCAATTATATATATTTTCCATTAACATTAACAATTTATGTTGATTAATGTTCACTAAATAAGTTTTTGTGTACATATTACTGGAATGTATCACTTGAGTACCTTAACTGATATATTGCCTTATGTATAGCTGAAACTTAACAAGTTTGCATACTGTAATTAATATTGAGTTATTTATTATATGAATGTGCGATTTTAGTCTATATTAATTGCTATATCGTGTAAAAAAAATGTGTGTTATATATACATAATGTTAGTATGTTATATATACTTATAACATACTATAAAATATTCCAAACTATTGCTTTTAAAAGTAGTAGTAGAATCAATCAATCTTTATTCAATGAATCCTATTTTGTGCTACGGCATGAAGTTCATTATAGTCGCAAATAATTTCACTTGAGGAAACCAATTTCGACACTTATCTGATATTTGTATATTACAGAATCTAAATAGGTTTGCTACATTATTTTACAAAATTTGTCTTTTCAAGGAAAAGTCTTCGAGTTGTTCTGTGAAGGAATAGAGATTTGTTTGATAGCTTCCTCTTCCTCCTATACACTACATTTTCTTCTATGGAACTTTTTTTAATGTTTCGAATTGCAAATATTCGTTTATTAGTAATTGGCGGAAATCACCAATGAATGTTTGTCCAACATTCTAAATATGTAAAAATTTTATCGGTTTTAACTATGTTTTTCGTGCAAAATATAGGTACCGACATCCATAAGTCGGGAAGGCATGTACCATGTACCTTTTTTACAGTTATACAGCAAATCTATATCAATAAATCTAATCTATAATTTTATAATTATTTTGATTAGTGAACTATTTTTTAAATTATGGCGGATAAAATAATCAAAGACATGTTTGGCAAGTTAAACAAAACAGATGAAAAATATTTGATAAATTTTTTAACTAAGGAAAATATGACGTATGAGGATTATTTACAAGGCAAATCAAATAAAGAGGCTATGGTTGAATGTGAAGGTTTAAATAATCAAAGCATGATTGATTTGGGAAAGAACGTGCCAGAGTATCAAAAACTGCTCGAAATTAATTCGCATAATAATATAGGCAAGAAAAACTTGAATGCTGATCTGCAATGTTATGAAGTCCAAGAAAAACCTTCTCAGTGTGATGCGGTAGCATCTAGTAGCCTTCAATCTGAATTATTGAATGAAACAAATATATGTCCAAATCTTACCGGTGCATGTGATAACATCAATCCACGTCAACTTATTGAAGCCAAGTTAAAGCGAACATTACGACGTAATTCCAGCAGATGTCCAATATGTTTAAAGAAAGTTAGAAAAAAGATTTGTGTGTTTTCAATATGGTTTGCTTTAAAAAAATGTTTAACAATTTTTTTTCATAAGCAGATCTCAAGACAGCTTCAAAAATCTATTTGGGTTTTGGTTCCAAATGCTTAGACAAAAAACTAGAGAAGGAAGGTACGCATGTTGGTGTTTGCAAAGAATACGCTGCATATAGTAAGTATTATATAATATGTGAATAAGTTTTAAGCTGCATTTATTATTACTATAGTCCAAGACAAGAATGTCGTTACGGTAGAAGATTGTGATCCTTGCACAAGTGCGAAATGCTCTGGTAAGAAACTAGAGAAGAAGGATACGCATGTCGATATTTGCAAAGAATATGCTGAAAACAGTAAGTTTTACATAATTGTAATTGTAATAAATGTACTTTAAATTTGTAATATATAGACCAAGGTAAAAATGATGTTACGTTGAAAAATTGTGATCCTTGTACAAGTGTGAAGTCAAATATTACAAATGGAAACCCACAGGTTGCATTAAAACGCCAAAATAAAGGAGGTGAGTTCAAATTTGTGTAATTTCTTTAATCACTGAGGTAGTATATTGGTTACCTATAGGTAAAGGGATATACGGCAAAAATGATCGTTGCTACCGCTGCGGAAAGATATTGGGCAAAAGCAATTTTAAAAATCTACGTAGTAAAATTTCGAAGCGTGGGGTTGATTCCTTCATTAGAAATGCCGCTAGGGCAGGAGGATATAAGTACAGATTTGGGGAAGGTTCTTTGGATTGCATTACAGAAAACTTTCCCAATGCTAAGGATTGCAAGAAATTAAAAGATCAATGTAAAGTTATAAATAAGGTACAACGGTCGAAGAGAAAGGTTATATTTAGGGCTATTAAACCGAAGCTTCGAAAAAGGAGATTTTAGGTTGTTTATCCAAAATGTACTAATGTCCTAATTGTACAAAATGCCAAAATTTTCTGTTTTTCAGTTTTGGACTAAAAAATTAATTAAAACTTAAAATCAAAATTTTATACATATATGAAATAAAAATTATATTTGTACATTATTATTTATTTCGAATAAAAACATGCATGTACACAAAATGCTTTAACTTTATTATATTATTAAGGTGGTATACAGACGTCACTTCCCGTACAAATTATTATGGAAATACGACTATATGAGAATAAACATCTCTTACTTTTATTTATTTATATCGAACTTGTTTGTAATACAATAAACAGTTTTCAGAAACTTCTCCAGTCTGGACAATATAGATAAATACAGAAACTAATATAATACGGAGAAACTAGATATATTTCTAACATTTCTTATAATTAAGTTTTAAAGAGATACATATTGTAATTATTTACTTATGCAATTAATATTGCTTATAATGCAATATTAATATTGCTTGTTGTAGTAAAAAAATTAATTATTATATCCCATTAACTTACCACATTAACTTAAAGCTTCATTGTATATGCTGTAAGCAGTACATATACTCGTATATGAACAAATCTTCCCTTACAAGGCATTTGCTTAGATAAGGTTTTGTTTTTTCAGCGATTCTTAGGGAGGGATTTTGATATATTAACTGATACAAGGTAAGCATAAAGTATTAGTATTAAGATTGTAAGCGAATTTATTACTTCTACAGATACTAGATTTAATAAAGAAAATATATCGATTTATGAAGAGCCATTTAAATAATACAATGTTATATTTACTGATACCGATAGAAGCATGCATTGACAATTATGATAAAAAAGTATAATATTTTAGGGACATTTTGATGACAAGTAGAAAGTGCAGATCAGGTTGTGATGATGGACAGTAGCACAAAAGATATATTAAGCATCGACTTTAAAGCTCTAAAATGTAACTTTGTTCTTGGTACATATGTATCTACCATATATTGATGGCAAGAGAAGTAATTGAATTAAATGAAAATACTAAATTTTCGGAATATGTTTTTTACTCTATAACACGAGTTTTTCTAATTTGACAGAATTCTATTTACGATAGTTTGAAGAACTCATAAAAGGTGGAGAACTGTATATAAAATATATTTATATTCATATGGTTCAAAATTTTATTAACGAGTTGTTTTTTAAGTACGAGTAATAGCAGAAAAAGTAGTCTCAATAAAAAATATTGATTGGTAGGCCTTTAACATAAACACTCTATCGGACGTGTAATGTTCCCCTACGTCGGTTTTCTCTGACTTTCACTTTCAACACCTTTTTTCGCAAGAGTATTGACATTCATCCTGATAACATGATTAAGTCAGCTACTTATACATCGTATATACTGATGAACTACATGCTTTATTTTCTAATTACAACAATTACAATATAATTTCGAACTGGGGTTATGGTATGTATCTAGTTTATATAGTAATAGTTATTTTCGTATAGAATTAATATCAGATTAATATTTTGTTTCTATTTTTAGACTATAACAGTATTTATAGAAGTCTTGAGTATTATAAAAACATTTAAATTAAATGCTTTTCCTTATTTACAATTTAACTAGTAAGTATTAATTTACTAGTTAAATTTACTCCATTTTTACTCACTTTCTTCATGGTCGTATACCCTCAATTAATGTATTTTTTCATACTTTTAAATTCTTTATGTTATATTAAATTGTTCTCTTAAATTATTTTAAACTCATATAAAAATTTTTTGTTGGATTTTTCAGAACCTTGCGAATATGTCGGAAGTAATTTTTCTTCGTTGAAATAATGCAGTAAAAGTTTTGCGAGTAGAATCCTTAAAATATAAAATACATGTGAAATTTTTTTGCTTTTATTGCTCAAACGAATGTGCAATAAGAAGAAAGAATACACAATACCTCTTTCAGGGATATGTGCAGGAATTCGTAAAAGTTCAGAGACATATTGCCTAAGTTGTCAGCACAAAATACTTGAACGCTAGCGCCACGCACTCGTATATGTTTTTATGCAAAAAAGCGCATAACAGTGCATCGCAATGACAGCTCTACCACCGGATTACGTTCTGGTACTCATAACTATGCTGTCTGCGTGTTGGTTCGAGCAGCACCAAAACTTATGCAAGCGTCATTATTATGCAAGTGTCTTTCCTTCTCGAGTTATGTGTTTATTTTTATTATTGTCAATGGTTTTTTTCACAATTCGACGTGTATTTTTGTTTAACTAAAAAAAACACAATTTTGTTACTTTTTTCTTGCATGGTAAATATTCATTGAAAAACTTGTACAATAATAAAAAGTTCACTTCTTACAAGTAAAGAAATTAAAAGGAGTTTTAAAAGCCAACTAAAAACACTTTAGAACACTTTATTGTAGTACTTTAGTTGCTGCTCTTGGAAAGTGCTTTACTACGAGTGAAACAATCTTTTTAATAGTAAATTTTTATTTGCAAATGTATTGTACTTAATTTTTTATTTATTTGCCAATTTTGAAACATCTTAAATTAAATAGTTTGTGAATAATATCTATTTTCTGGATATAGAGCAAATTGTTTATGATAATATCCGATCATTGCTCTGCAGAATATCACTGTTAGCTATAGCCTCAAGATCATTGCTTTAGCTACTCTAAATAAAATTTTTCTTTTTTAAAGTGTCCAATGCAATGGACACCCAAAAAACTAAACTAAGAACATCTAGAATTAGTACGTGATTTGTCGTATATTGATTGTTCACAATGGTAATAATGGCTGTCAACAAACAAACGAGGACTCAATATACTTGTATTTCTTAATAAATATATACTTGTCTTAAATAAAATGTGAGAAAGAAGGTTTATTGGCGTGTAAGAGCTTATTATGTTCTACAAATGAAAAAATACACTCTGCTCTTAGATATTATATATATGATATTAAAAAAAATGTGATGAAGGCTTAGCGATTTAAGGAAAGCGCTTATAACTGTACATTGCAGTGTGAAAAAATCTGCCAATAGCTATATAAAATTGAAGAAAAAGTTCTACTAGATGCTTATACCAATACTCTGTGTAATTATACATATGTATTCGTTAGATATTTTTGAATTAAGTAGTGGTTTCAACAGATAAAGCTGAGCTTCGAAGATTTTCATTGATTAAAAGCATAAAGAGATCTTCTCATTAATTATAATTTTTCTGAATGTGCAATATCTATTATGCTCCAATAATTAGAGTATAATATTCTAGGGTACTTTATATATAGATTATAAAGTTATACATTATAGGGTATAATAAAAATTATACTACTTTTATTGGGTCAGTTGATATTTAAATTCGGAAACCAGATGAGTAGGAAGAGACTTGCATATTAATCATTATTTTTCTGGTGTTGCAATATCTGTTATACTTATTTATGGCGTTTTTTCTTTCTTTTGGGTATTTTTCATTTAGTAATATTTCATGTATTCTGGAAATATGCGGTTTATCATAGAATATATTATTTAGCAACAAAAAAGTTACTATTTATTGAAATACAACACATTTTCTAAGTTCTGATATTAATATAAATTATTATAGCTTGTCTTCATTTTGTGGTATTAAGTTTAGATATTATTACAAATCGGTAAGTATATGTCTAACATATATAACAGTTTATAATGTAATAAAATATATTATAAGATATTATAAATCACAACCATTTGTTGCCAGATTATGTCATATACTCGCAAAACTTTGGTTAAGAAACGCAATAACTAATCTGTTTCCATTGATGTAGCATAACCACATTAGTATTTACTAATGAGATTATATAAACTCATTCTAAGAAAGCCACCTTATGAAACTCGTCGGCAGACTTTTGAACCGAAACCGCATGGAAATAAAAGAACAGAATGATCAAAAGTTATATAGTGCTTTAATATCAAGCCTTTATTAATTAATATTATATTATTTATAATAGTGAACCCTAAAAATATTAAGTTAAGCAATATTAAGTTAAACAATATTAAGTTAAGCTGAAAATTAAATTAAGCTTCTATTAGCATAATTTATTTCAATTTAAAAATAAACGAGTATTTTATCTACTATCGAAGATACATATACATCAAGTTTCTATAATTTAGAGATTCGGTTTGATTGATTGGTTGTGGTTATACAGAAATTTCAAGAAAAAAAGATGATTTTTAAAGAAATCAATTAAGATTTTGAAGTGCACTTTCCTTGTCAGATACAAGTCAAATTGTGGTACAAATGTAACTCCTGTTGAAGATTCTTTTTTGATGCTAATGCATTAATAAAAACAATAACTGAAGAATATAAAATGGGAATAACAAAAATAACAACAACATATTTTAACAGTGTTGGCAACTCTATGGAAAGAACGGAAATGGCAAAACAATGGCAAAGGTCAATTATGTATCGTAAAAATTGTGTTTCGTCGTTATTTGGCATTTCCTATGAGAGTTGTATGTCTGTCTGTGCGTGCAATGGTTTAAATTTTTTTGTAATAAAAACAATATTGTTGGAGTAGAAATAAAAATAAATTAGAAAAGCAAATACTCGTAGAAGTCAAGTCAAAATACAAATAAAAGAGCAAAATAGTAGTAGAAAAATCATTCCTTTTTTTCCTACCAAATAATATGCGGTCATTATTCATTTGTGGGTGGAAACACCAGTGAGTTCCATTCGAAGTGAGCTTGTTTTATATCTGACCAGTGTGACAACTTTGGGAATTTTATCTTTTTATTCTAAATTAGTTTTGTGTGTTTTGTTGAAGTGCAGCCTTGGTATGACTTGCGAAATTTGCAATGTAACAGTGACATTATTAATATATCCAAGTAGAAGTTCTCGTTATATTCTGGAATAATACAAATTCATTTATATTATCAAGCATTGTAAAAATCGCTTTTTATTTTTATTCAACAAGAAAAAAAAACGTGAAAAGAGAAAGAAATATTTAAAAAAAAGAAGCAATTTTCTACTTTTCATCAACTGATTCTTTTTCTAATGCATTTTATATGTTCCGGTTAACTTGGACTAGGCATTGCACATCTTTCTACCACAATTACATCCTTGAATTGAAATCAAATTTT